CCCGGATATAATTATCCCTCTCCGGTCGGTTGTAAGCCCCCGTACGAAGCTGGATAAGCCAACGAGTTATGAGGTGAATTTTCCGCTATTTAATGCCGGACCACTCAGATATTCAATAAACCCCCGTTTAAGGCATTTCCGTTGGCCAGTTACGCGAATTTTTTAAAAAAATGTCATTCTGGGGCAAGTAAGCTAAGCACCATTTTGAAGAGGCAATACCCGTGAATCATTTTAGTCTTCTAAATCTGTTTTAAGATTGCGCAGTTGTTCAATTCCTGTGAAATAAATTTTTCATCATGAACTATGGCAAAAGAATATAGTTGAATAAAAGTGAGCTTAAGCAAACCACGGCGACGACGGCAACGAGAACATCACAAAACGAAAAAAGATTTAATGAGTAGCACAATGGCTGTTCACGTGCATATTATATTTCTCAGCCGTCCTCTGCAAAACACGACAACGTAAAATGACTATGCTCTGGGTATTTTGGAGAACGTGAACCACGACGGCTATTTTTGTTTTTGTATTTTCTTTTTAAGTTGATCGCTGGCGTTACATATTTAGTTGGAGCAAGTTTTTAGACCCATCGGCAGGGTGAACGAATCTAGATCAGTAATTACGAAATTCAAAGGTAAATTGTTAATCCCTTTTTCATATGCAGGCGTCGTCTTTGGCGTCGCCGCAGCATTTCTTGAGGTCTTACGTAAGGTTTACTGGACTTTCACATTACGTCATGCCACGTGCTCCCATCGGGCCTCTGGAGCTTGAAGTAGAACCTCTGGTATCCGCCATATTGTCCGCTCGTGTTGTCGTGTAGTAAACGTTGCGTTGTTAAATAAAGAACATAGAAGGCAATATTGTGACATGTACGACAATGTATTAATTGATTTTTTTCCACATAGATAAAAAATGCTGACAAATTCCAATGTAAACCCATGCTTATCGATTACTGCGTGTTATATTTAATCTCTGCATAGTTTGTGACAGAATTGATAGACACGA